TTAGATGGATTGATAGATAGGTAGATAGATAGAAAGATAGATAGATATATAGATAGATATATAGATAGATAGATAGATAGTTAGATAGATACGCAATTCATATGCAGCATATATGCTCTTTATATGTAATATATATAATGAACACTTTCGTAGGCAAAATCCGGTGAGATGTTGCAAGTCTTCGAATGCCACAACGTTAGAGTAAAACTAGAAACGACCTAATCACGTTGAATAGTATCTCAAGTAGTTGTTAACTAGAGTTATCGAACACCCCTATCTGTGTATCGACTCTTGTGTGATTCTTCCGCTTGTGCTAAATATAGACATTCTTCAATATCACACTGCTGTCCTCTCCCTCCCGTATTCTAAAAATAGCACTCCCGCCTTTCTCGCAGGTTCTGGGTACCCCTACTAGGGAAGAGATTCAGGCAATGAACCCAACATATTCAGAGTTCAAGTTCCCACACATCAAGGCCCACCCCTGGGCGAAAGTGAGTGCTATGCGTGTCTAGTGGTGTTCTGTGTTGTGTTGTTACGTGCTACTCGAAAGTATAGTATCCCATATCCTTTACCGTATGCCCAGGATGGTGTGTGTGTGTGTGTGTTACATTCTCTTGCCACACTTTACGCGTGTCCGCGGCCGCCCCGACCGGTTGTCTGCCGAGACTAAGCAGTCAATCGCATGTCTCGTGCAATGGGGAGAGCAGCATGCAGCAGGCTTAGGGTACCAATGCACCCAGAATGCCGTGTGGCTGCGTGTGTGTGGTGTTATAGGTCGAAGTACTAGTGGTGCCCATACGCGTGATGCAACGTTGGCCTGCGTGGACCATAGTACGGGTGGACGTTGGAGTGCCGTCCACTGGCAGTGTAGCGTAGTTATTGCCCTTGTATATATCTGTTTCGTGACTGTGTGCGGTGATGTATGATAGGACTAGTCGTACCATGGCTTGCTAGTGGTATTGTCTACCAATTGGATGTTCTATATGTTTCGAGTATAGTACATTGCCCGATTGATTTCTCCACCGGTCAAGGATGTTCATTGGGAAAAGTACGTATCAACGTGAAATGCAGTTGCTGACAGCCGCAAAGCCACGTCTTCATTCCATGGTCAATGTTCAGTACAATTTTATTATTAGCCAATGAGTTGTATCTGATGGCAGATACCTGTTGCACTTATGCAGGCTAACTATCTGTCCTGTATTCTGTGTTAGGACTATCTTTGTTGTTTCTGTTTGTCAGAACGTCTAATGTAAGATATACTGAAGTGGATATTTAGGACTATCATATGTATGCCTCGTCCACCCCATTTCGTACCATCTTTCATCTTTCAGTCGCCTTATACGCTAACGAAATTCATAACACTGGCTTTAGTGCCATACTATCATACATGTATCCTGTTCACCCTATGGTATATATACAGACATACACACATCCATCCATACACACATCCATACATACATACATACATACATACGTACATACGTATATAAACATCAATCCTACACCTTTGAGTCGCCTCAGATGCCAACCAAAAATATTCTGAGGGTGGGCTGGTACAACATATATAAATATTCTGAGGGTGGGCTGGTACAACATATATACATATACCCCACCCACCCCCATTGCAACCCCTCGTAACGCTCCCACTTTCATTTGTTTGGTAGGTATTCCATCAAATGACGCCGGAAACAGCGCTCGATCTCGCCGCCAAGACGCTCACATACCCCCCCGCACAACGCCTCAAAGCAATTGAGGTGTGCCCGCATCCGTTCTTTGATGAACTCAGAGACCCCAACACCACACTCCCCGATGGCCGCCCCTTGCCCCCAGGGCTGTTCGAGTTTATCCCTGAAGGTAGGTAGAACGTGCGTAATCTAACTTAAGAAGTCTCGTACCTGAAGACATTGATGTGTATGTTGATTTATGTAGCATGTGCGCAGGATTAGCTTGCTTGGTATTTCGCATTTGAGTTGAAAGTGTTGTACGTATGTGATTGTGAGCCCTATTTGTCTGGCTTCTCGGAAGATCTATGTTATGCTTGGTTAAAGTATTAGCGCCAGGTCTTCAAACCAAGTTTACACTGTCTATATTACTGGGTTTGCCTTCATTCAATTTCTTGCAATTTGTAAATAGGCTCATGTTTTTCGTTAATTTTTTATCTGATCTTGCAGAGTTGAAGGATCTATCACCAGAGCAGCAGGAGAAGCTCATCCCATCACACGCCCGGAAGGGAAGTACTCATAGTGATTTAGTCCAATGAGTTCCCAGAAGTAGCCCAATCTTTCATGCCCCATGCTTCAACACAGAGCGTATATAGATATAAATATATAGTTGTATATAGCGTGTGATCTATATAGATCTAAATACAAATATATATTCATATATACAATCATAGATACGTATATATACATATATATATATATATATATATATAATAATAAATATACATAGTGTGACAGGGATGGGGACGTTGTTACAGTGGTACATGGCGAGACGCTCTCTTGTCAGGGCCGTGTGTGTACGGGAAGGGGTAGTAAGGGGTCTGGGTGGCAGGAGACGGAAGTGCAAGGTGAGCAGGCACACTCTAGATATTATATATATATATAAACACTTTATATATGTATATACGTAATAGAAGAGAGATAGTTTGGATGATAGGTTGCCAATGAAGGAGAGTATATGGGTCTTACAGCGGCTGTTCAGTAATTTCTATTGTATCAGCGGGAGCTTTCTGGAAGCTGCCGTCATGGGGTCGGTCACTGCTCCGTGTTTTAATATGGTGAAGCGTTGGGCGCGAGTGAATTGCTGGAGAGCATTCCGGTGCGAAAGCTTGAATCTGAGGAGATGTGTGTATACAGAGATGTACATAACCAGTATCTGTGTGTCAGGTTAGGGGGCGTACACGTACGACTTTTAAAGGACCGTCGTTCATCTGCACCGAGGGTGCTAAACCTATCATTTGGTATACTCGAGTCCACTTAACGACGGCCAGAACTACGTGGCACAGGTTTCCTGGCTGTAGTATGTGCAAATGCGAAAGCAAGTACACTCAGGCGTGTGGGCTTGGTTAGTGTGTGCAGACTCAGGTCAATGGAAGTGGGCACGCCGATAGATACGGCACCATATATGGGACGGGCAACTCACATATGTATAGTATGTGTATATATGTACATTAATATACTCGTGTATATGGTAAATGTACTAGTACGCTCTACATATAT